TGTTCGTGGAAGTCGTCGAGATGGAGGGGATCAGTTACTGTTTTCTTGCTAGTGGTAGATTGTGAAGTGATTTATTCTTGATCAATCTCTACCGTGCTGATCTCTCTCTATGTAATAAGAAACTAAATTGATAATTATTATAATTATTCAATCAAATAATAATAATAATCAATCTCTACCGTGCTGATCTCTCTCTATGTAATCAGAAACTAAATTGATAATTATTATAAATTATTATTATAATTATTCAATCAAATAATAATAATAATAATAATAAATTTGTTGTCTACACTAAATTTAAACTTATTATTATAAACTTATTATAATAGTTTAAATTTTATTATACTAAGACACTCAGTGTAAGTTTAAAGCTCTGCTGGCTACTGGCTACTGCTTGTGAACCATCCATATATGCGCCATCAACCAAAACCCGCTATGGAGGTGGTGAATATAGCATCCACAAATACAAATTCTTCCAAAAAAATAGTAGTTCAAAAACTTGTATAAAATATCTCAAGCTATGCGAAAAGTTAGATCTAATTGGAGATTAACAAAATATGCAAAGAACCGAAATATCTCCCTTACCCCTAGCTATGTGATAAGCTAGATCTAGGATAAGATTGAGAAAAGCTACAAATAACGGAAATATCTCTCTTAAACCCTAGCTAAAATATCTCACTTAGACACTAGTTATGTGAGAGCTAGATATAAAACTGCAAACAAATCCTACTCAGATATAACCTCTCAAATAGCTCGAAGTCTGATTGTCTCTTCATTATATAGTTGGGAAAAAGAGCCAAATAGAACCGGAGAGAAGAAACACACTCCACACAAAATTCTAAAGGAGAGGCAAAAACTTATGCAGAATTTAAATTGTACAAAGTAAATACATGACTTTAAATTGCATAAAATAACTTTAAATCATCTCATTACAAAAAGTGGTGCTAACACACTTATACACTAGATTTAAACTCACACAAAAGCCTTTAGGGTAAACTCCTACAAAAACTCTCACAAAGAGACCTAGAGACTTCGAGAGGGACACACCAACACTAGCCTCTACCTCTTTATTTATAGGCTAGAATTCCTAAAACAATGTCACACTTGCCCTTAGAGCAAAACCTTAACTCAAGCTAAATCTATGCCATCTGTTGTTCCTTACACCCGAAGGAAAAGCCCCAGATCGTTGCCACGTAGCCAGCCACAGTGGATCTTCTTTCCACATAAAATCTACGTCGCCATCACCTTCTCCATGCCGCGCGCCAACCGCAGCCAGCCACGCGTCCCACATCATTTTTCTCCCACGCGCGCCTTCCTAGATGGGCCGCATGCCAGCGAGCCAATCCAACCGCCATCGCTTATGCTTAGAGCATGTACAATAAATTGATTGGGCAAGCTCTAAAAATAACTAGGTCAAAGCAAGCGACTAATCTGTCGTTGGGCGATAGCACGGGTTCACATGCGTTTGTGGGTCCCACGACGAGCCCATCCGATCGTGTGTGACATGCAGCTATTCTGCTCCCCCTCCGCAGCCCATCTTGTTTCTCTCCTCACGGGAGTGCCACAGATCTATCTATACTGGCCGCCGCCTCGCGATTGTCTTCTCCATCTCGCTCAAGAGCCTGACCAAGAAGGGCTTGTCGATGTCGTCGGTGCTAGTGGCGGCGGTGATGGCTGGGGTGTTCTTCTCGGCGCTGGTGTCGACGGACACGGCGCAGCAGATCACAAACGTGGCAGCGGCGGCGGGCGCCGATGACAACCGTGGGCTGGTGCTGCCGCTGCCCATCACACCGTCCATTTAATGTAGCAGCAATGCACTTGCACAGTCCCTTCTCCTTCCGATTTCTTGGCAAATCCTGGTGCTTGCACACTCGACCTTGTGAAGCTCGTCCATCGTATGCCACCTTGCGTCCAATCTTGTCACCCAACATCCTTGACCGAACTGAATCTCAACTCCTCCCTGAGTCTAGTCCCGATTCCGCCGCTGATCAAGATCGATCTTTTAGGATATCCTGACTTTAGTCCACCTTGTCATATGGCATCCCGATCGCGCTAGACCTCTGTTTCTCCCTGAGCATCCTAGTCCTCGCCATTGATCAAGGTTGACCCAAATCACACGCACACACAAAGACCAAATAATTGTTTTTAGGCACAGATATCACAATCTGACCCATATTAGTTGCATGCACTCACGCTGGCAGTCGCCAACATTCCAAACCACATTTCCATCCAAAACCAACTCATGGTTCCCAAATTCCTCGTCAATTTTTCATCACAAATAAACCAAAACAAACTTGGTTTCACGGTGAATAGTACGTTGATACTGTACTGTGAGTCAGGAATAAATTTTAATAAAGGATATAAAGTAAACTTTTTTCTTGGGTAATATCCACATGTCCACCGATGTAACTACGAATTTACTGTCCCCGAGTTGGCTTCGCTGGTGTCTGTTAAAAAAATAAATCAAAATTCAAAATTCAAGTGAAAATTTAAAAGCGAAGGGACATGTATGACCGTATAAAACAAACAAAAAAAATACTAGTTTAAAAATAGAGATGCTAAGACAAAGTGCAGGTGGCATTAGAACGCTGGCATCCTCGGTGCCAAAAAAGAAATACTAGTTTAAAAATAAAGATGCAAGACAAGGTGCAGGTGGCATTAGAACGCTGGCATCCTCGGCGCCAACGCTAGCAAGGCGGGGGATGGAGGCACCATTTATGAATTTTTGAATATAATTTGACCAAATTTGAACAAATATTACCAAATTCACGAAAAAATGAAAAAAAATTAAAATTTTTGGCCAAGCCGCATCGCCACCAGGGACGCGATCGTAGAACGGGCTCGTTGCATAAAAGACTGGACGATCGCTGCCAAGGACATCAAGAAGAGCCGTGGAGAGATCGAAACCTTTGCTTCGAACTTCACTAGCATGAATGAAATTTTGCACCAGTTTATTGCAACCAGTGTTCCACTGGGTTGCCATAACCAAACAAACTGATACATACCAATTTTGTAAGCGATTAACTAATCCAAAATATGTTAAGAGTGGAAATCAGATAACACTAAGATAAGATAGTATAGTACATACTAGATATAACCCTATAAAATTACAGTGCGCAGCGGGGATGGATTTTAAACTCTTTATGTGATGTCCTATTAACAGTATAGAATCGTTAACTAGCTATAGTTTAAATTTATCTTTTTGTTGCAAGTTAAAGAATTCGAATTTTAACTTATATATATGTGGAGCCACATATAAATCTTAATTCAACCATTCTGATCGTCTTACAATAAGGAACCACACATCCGGCCTTGTGTGTTGGATTTTGACAATCCTAATAAGTAATCAGACTTACATTTTTTTTACACAAAGATAGAATTACATTAATTTACGATTAAGAAGATGATCAATGCAACAATACAGTTATAGATGATCCATTTTGATAGTTAAGCTTAACTAATAGAGAAATTTATTAGCATCGGACATGTCTTACTCTTATCCACACTGGAGAATTTTAGTATAATTACAATTAGTAAATTAAATGGTATCAGTGAACTAAGACTAAAGATATTTTGAAAGGGGGACTCGAATACTAAATATTTTCATTTGGTAGCAAATGGTAAGCATAGGTAAACAAGGATTTATCAGCTACACAATGGTGATAGGGTAATTAGTGGTGATGCGATTTAAAGGCACATATCACCACTTATTATAGTCTTTTTGGCTCTCCTATAGCTTGTTCTTTAACGTTAGATGAATGCCAAATAAGTGATATTCCCCAGATTTCTCAATTAGAAAATAATGCTTTATTACAAGATTTTTCTAAGAAGGAAATTAAATATGTGATTTTTCAAATGGAACATAATAAAGCCCCGAGTCTGAATGGATTCCCATCTGAGTTTTATCAGGTTTTCTGGAATGTTATTAAGCACGATTTGGTTGATTTGTGTAATGATTTTCATAGTGGTAATTTATCTCTTTACTCTCTTAACTTTGGTACTATTATTTTACTGCTCAAGTGCAAATAGGCTTTGAAAATTCAACAATATAGATCCATTTGTTTACTTAATGTCAGTTTCAAAATTCTTTTACTAAAGTTGCTACAAATAGAATTTCTGGAGTGGCTTAGAAGGTTATTAGTCCCACACAGACAGCTTTTATACCTGGGAGGAATATTATGGAGGGGGTTGTTAATCTTCATGAAAGGATACATGAATTGCACCCAAAAAAAGATATTATTTTGGTTTTTTCTATTCTTTTATTTTGGTCAAAGTTTATTCAAATTCATCAAATTTGTTAATGTTTCAAATAATTTCGTGCAAAATAGTATGAAATTCTCAATTTTTTAGGAAAATTCGGTGACACCGAAATTCCTAAATTCTGGTCCAAACATGTTTCATCCATTCACTCTAGAAGGTGGCATCGTTCACGCATTGTCTCGATGATCCCCTCCGTCCCCAAATATAAGCATTTTTGGACACTGACACGGTCTTCGAGATGCTACTTTGACCAACAATATCTATAAATGTTTTAGATGAAAAAAGTTACATATTATGATAGTCTATTTAATGATAAATCTAATAACATCAATTTTACATAATTGATCTTTTTTATTATTTTGCTATTAATGGTTAAAGTTAAAACTGTTTGACTTATCACTATGCTAAAAATACTTATATTTTGGGACGGAGGGAGTACTAACTATTACTATTAGTATGACATGCATGCAAGAAACATGGAGTATGACACGATTATATAGAAAAGAGAAAAAAGAAAAGAGAAAAGAGATAGATGGAGTAGAAGCAATTTCTTTCGAATGAAAAGAACAGCAAAGGAATACCTGATGGCTATTGGGCCCGGATGTGAATATGTGATAATGCCTGGGCCTCAACGCCATCTCGATGGAGACCGGCCTTTTGCCACCGCAGTCGCAGAGTCCACGTATACACTGACCGCAGCAGCGCGCTTGGTCAAAGTCGTCTTCCACGTGCTGACGTGCACACTCGCGAGTCGCCACGAATATAGGCGGCCTCACCTCTCACCCGTCAATGGCGGCAAGCCGGCAACGGCCGAAGCGGCGAGACATCGGGTAGTTGCGGTCGCGGCGGCGTTGCGCGGGGAGCGCAACGCCATGGAGAGCAGCAGCCTGTGGGGCGTGCTTGGGCAGGCGTCGAACGTGGCGCAGCTGGTCGGCGTCGACGCGCTCGGGCTGGTCTCCATGGTGGTGCAGGCGGCGCTGGCGGCGCGCCGCCACCGGGACGCGTGCCGGCGGCTGGGGCAGCACGTGGAGCTCGTCGGCGGCCTGCTGTGGGAGCTGGAGCTCGCCGAGCTGATGCGGCGGGAGGCCACCAGGCGGCCCCTCGAGCAGCTCCAGGGCGCGCTGCGGCGGTGCTACGCGCTCGTCACGGCGTGCCAGGAGGACCGCGGCTACCTCCACCGCCTGCTCCTCGGCGCCCGGATGGCCAACGAGCTCCGCGCCGCGCAGCACGAGATCGACATGTACATCCGCCTCATCCCTCTCATCGCTCTCGTCGATAACAGCAGCAGCAATCGTCGTGTCACAGTAAGCCTGTTTCAACTTTTGCTAGTAATTAGATAATTTCGTTGGTTCGTCTTAAAACTGAAGATTATGGCGTATGGTCGTACGGAGATGAATGAGAAATTGCAGATTCTTTTATGATGATTCATCTGATCGAAGTGATTTGTTCAAAGTGATTCTGTCAATGTTTCTGTTGTGCATTTGTACCTGAATTGGGGACTTGGGGATACCGGGGTACATACTACATACCGATTTTGACTTTCATACAAACAACTTTACATGGAGTAATTAATAGTTCTGCATTCATATGATTTTCCTTACTTGTCCACTGTTAGTTCCAAAAGTCCACTTTATATGCAGGCAAATTGCCTGTGAATGATATATGTAGTTTTCACTGTTCTTGTCTAGCAGGCAACCGAGGGGGTGCGTGCTGTAGTCCCAAGCTGTTCAGACCATCACACAAGGTTAGGTGTATATACTGTTTCAGTACATAATTGATTGCTCAAAAAATGTTTCTTTATATGCTAAATCAAGGACCTGATGTCCTTATCGCGTCTTGACAAAATGGTGATATTGATGAGGAAACACCACTTATATTGGGTTATTTTAAACACCAGAGAATTATTGAAGATATCTGGTTGATTACTAATTGATCATAATTGTAACGATATCAAATTTATCTATGTTAATAGTTCAGCTGTTGTGAATATACCAGTTTTTAGGGCGAAATCAGGACCTTTGTTTTATGGTTTTGACATTAACGGGTATATTTGCCCAATTTTAGGTTTCAAAGAAGAGCATTGGAGTTCATTGAATTACATGTTCAAGGAGCGGCCAAACCTAGTGAAATTGGGGGAAAATCATTAGTAGGTAACTACATCTACAAATTTCCTACATTTGTTAATAATGATTTAAAAAGGCACACTTTAATAAATGGACTTACAAGCAAGAATATAAGAGTCAAAACAAATGTAATAGCGCACACTTAGAAATTTGTTCAAACAGAGAAAATCCCTATTTCATTTTAGTCAGACATTATAGCTTATGATCATGACCAAGTATTGGGTATTTGGATCTTATTATAACATTGCAATGTTTTTTGAAAGGATATAACATTGCAATGTGGTTAAAGACTTAAAGATGATTAAGTACTCGTAACACGATACCAGCTAATGTGCAACATCAGCTTCAGCTGATAAAAATTTTGCAAAACTTCAGCGAGAAGAAGCAAGCAAATGCTGAAGTTATCAACATTTTCACATTGATAGATACTTATGCACGATGAATATCATTTTTTCTCATTATTCTACGTCTATTCTTGTTAAGTTTTTCGAAAAGGAGTTTGATAACACAAGTTTTATATCTTTTGCTCAGTATGAAGTCATTAGTTATTGTATGAAGAAGCTGAGCATTTCTCATTTTAGTGTTAACCCTCATTCAGTAACAGTGGACCCGCAACCGCAAGAAGAAAAAATAATGGATATCGAGGCAGTACTGAAACTTTTTGTCCATACTGAAGAGAACTACCCAGGATTTAGGAAGTTCGATTTCATTCAGATTGTGGATGCTACAGATGGTTTTTCCGAGAAGAGAATACTTGGAAAGGGTGGATTTGGTACTGTTTACAAGGTGATAAACACATATATACTCCTTGTCTACACAAAATATATTCTATCATCAGAGAATGCCGCATAAACTCTAGCTATTGGTAACTCCATTGCAGGGCCACTTGCTTGATGGACTTACAGTTGCCATAAAGACATTTGATGCTGATACAGCAATATTTGATTTGAAAAGTGAATTGCAGCTTGTAAGGATTCAGCATACCAATCTAATTAGGTTATTGGGGTGGTGCATCCATGAAAAAGAAAGGATCCTTGTATATGAGTACATTCAGAAAGGCAGTTTGCACAATATTATCTTCCGTAAGTTGCACACAAGACCTTTATTTTATTTTTTGCAATCAGACCTAATACAGTTTCTAATAAATATGCTTGCGAATGTAAAGCAACTCTTACCAAAGGGGAGTTGGATATCACTTGAATGTTGCTATGCTTCTGATAACAACTGATTAGAAACTATGTTAATTTGATGTAGAACAGCATGTAACAATTACTTCCTCCGTTTCACAATGTAAGTCATTCTAGCATTTCCCACATTCATATTGATGTTAATGAATCTAGCACATACATATGTTTAGATTCATTAACATCAATATGAATGTGGGAAATGCTAGAATGACTTACATTGTGAAACGGAGGGAGTACTATTTTCTCTCAAGTGTATGTATTGTGCAAACATTCCACAGATAAAACGAAGGGGGCATTGCTAAATTGGTCCAAGCGATTTCAGATAATTAAAGGGCTAGCTGAGGGGCTTCTTTACCTGCACAAGCACTGTTGGATTGTACATAGAGACTTGAAACCAAGTAACATCCTCTTAGACCATGACATGAACCCAAAGATTGGTGATTTTGGATCGGCGGTAACACTGGTTTCAGATGTAGCAGAAGAGCGTACAAAGAGAGTCGTGGGAACCAGGTACGGAGCTGAACAAAATATAACGAATGGTGCACTGTTACATATATGTTCCAGTTTTCTCATGCCTTGTGATATCTATTTCCAGTGGTTACATAGCTCCAGAGTATGCATCTCAAGGCCTTTATTCACTTAAGACAGATGTATTTAGCTTCGGTGTCGTGGTTCTAGAAACTATTAGTGGACGAAAGAATTTCATAATGGAGAAACAGAGGGATATTGTTGGCTATCTCGTTCGAGATGTGAGTGAAGATACAGTTCAATGATACACTTTTTCTTATGGTCTTCTTCTAGCATACAGATTTGTGTTACACACTTGACAGATTGCAACATGTTTCAGGCATGGCATATGTGGAAAGACGGAAGGTTGCAAGAGCTCGTTGATCCAGCACTGTGTGATGGATATGAAAGCACCGTGATAATGCGATGCACGCAGGTGGCGCTTCTTTGTGCTCAGGAAGATCCAGCCGATCGGCCCACCATGACAGATGTTACTGCAATGCTTGACTCTGAAAGCATAATGCTATCAGATCCAAAGGAGCCAACTGAGCTTACTCATGGAGGTGCGCCAGTCCTGACAGGTCATCGACATATATTGGTCACTCAAGCAAGGCGATAGACATAACCATCACAAGTTCAGCTCCGGTTTCAACCAGAGTTCGCATCATTGTTGAACCAGAGATTTGATTTGAGAAAAAAAAAAACAACCACCAGCTGTAGGAACCCGTGGCGCGGTGCACTTCTTCCTTGTGCTGCCCAGCGCGGCGCTGCTGTCTTCCTCGATGCCGACTCGATCGTCATCTCCCCCATGCTACCGCTGCCCCGCCTCCTCCGATATAAGCGGATTCAGTCAAGTTGATATATTCAGATTCAGTCAAGCCATAACCTTGTTATTGTCCATTTTCTGATACAGTGCTAGTATTCTTCAGTCTTGGTGAACTTGTTCTTCCTCTAGAGATACTTACTGTTTAATTACTCCATTGGAGTAATTCTGAAGATTTTTGTACATATAATTGATGGTTTCTGAAGATTTCTGAAAAACTGTGCAATATGTGAACTGGAGTATAATTAATGGCTGGAGTACTTGAATGCATGTATGCTGCTCATTAGTGCACATTCGACATAAATGTTGAACATATGGTCAAATTCAGTGAGAAGGTCGGGCTGGACTAAATTCAGAAAGAACATTTGGTAAAATTCAGAGATAAATTCAGACCAAATTCAGCACTCTGTTACCACACATAGCATCTCTTTGACAATTGGCTGTTGATTGATGGCATCTGCATCTTCTTGGTTTTATTCACCTGCTCATAATTCAAGTGGTCACAGATACAATGCACACTCCGCACATTACATATTGGCTTGGACATTCACATTACAGACCCCCCACATAGTTCTCCCAATTCACAATTGTGCCAATCTTCATTAGGAGTACTCTTTGTGACGAAGGAAAAAAAATCTCATTGCAGTATATTCAATCATCAGTGAAAAGAAGCCACTGATAATCTAGTACTCCAATCATCAGTAAGAAGCAACTCCAATCATCTCCGGGTTGGAACAAAATCTCCTTGGGAGGAATACATTGCTTCCAAGTTCCAATCCTTGTCTGAATATTGAGCAGCGCAACCCTTGTCTGAAGAATGCTCCTGAACACATTGGAGTAGCTGCTATTGGACTCGTCGATGCATTGTTCCAACGCCTCGAACCTGCCAAGACTCAAGAGCCACCTCGTCCGTCTCCGGCGAGGCCTTCTGGTAGAAGGCCACAAACGCTGGCGTCTTCTTGCAGGAGGATGCCGCGGCAATGACATGAATACGGCAGCCATGAACACAGCGGCGGATGTCCATGAGCACGGCGCCGCGGCGGCCATCTCGGTTTCCTCCGCGATGGAGCCGAAGCCGAGGCGCGACGAGTGCTTGAGGGCAGCGGCGGCGAGGCAACAGAGATCCTTCTCGGCCCTGCACTGGGACGTGACGGCGGCCGCGAACCTCGTGGCGTCGTCCCTCCACAGCGCCGCCCATGCGGCCATGCCTCGGCGACGTCATGCCTGAGCTCGAGGACGGCCTCCTGGAAGCGGCCCCAGTGCACGTTGCTGAAGACGACGAGAGGGAGGTCGGCGGTGGCGCGATGGGGCGTGTCCTAACTCCTACGGGTTGAGGAACCTTGGAGTACTTGGACGCCGTCACCACGCTGAGGTCGCCATGTCGCTGGCCGATGGATCATGGAGGTGGAACACCCGCCACCTCCCCCAACTTCCCCCGCCCCACATACAGGTTCGACAGCTGCACCTGCACCCCGCTGTGGTCGTCCAGCCCCAGCTCCGCCATCATCGCCGCCACCTCCTTCCCGGCCTCAGTGTCGCCGCGCGCCATTCACGCATTCAGCAGCGCCCCCAGCACGCACTAGTCGGGCCTCATCGGCATCCTCCGCCTCCTCCACCATCCCCGCCAGCACATCCACCAGGCTGCCATAGTTCTCCACGCCGGGCTCCATGCCGTACTTCGCCGCCATGCTCCCGAAGATCTCCCTTGCCTGGCCGATGAGCCCTGCCCTCCCCGTTCCTCCTGCATCCGCTCGAACAGTTCGATGGCCTTCACGCATCGGCTGTGGTCCGACAGCCCCGAGATCATGGCCGTGTACGCGAACACGTCCCGCTCCGCCATGCCCAGTGGCGGGACAGGAGGAACAGGTCACGGAAGGAATCGGCGATGGCGGACGCGACGGTGGTGAGGGCGGCAGCGGCGTCGGCCCGGGGGGAAGAAGCGAGGACAACGGGGGGAGCGGCGGAGGGGGCCACGGGGACGCGGCCTCCGCCGGCCGCTACGCCGCTCCTCTCCCGTCGGCCGCCGCGCGCCACCCATCTCGCCTCACGCTGCCCGAGAGATGGGGAAGAAACGTCAGACGATCTCGTTCCGGGGAAGAGAGAGGGATAGGTGGGAGAAGAGTTAGGCCATGTTTAGATGGGACTAAAACTTCTAAGTTCCTATCACATCGGATGTTTGAAAATTAATTATAAATATTAAACGTAGACTATTAATAAAACTCATCCATAATCTTGGACTAATTTGCGAGACGAATCTAATGAGCCTAATTAATCCATGATTAGCCTATGTGATGCTACAGTAAACATTCTCTAATTATAGATTAATTAGGCTTAAAAAATTTGTCTCGTGAATTAGCTTTTATTTATGTAATTAGTTTTGTAAGTAGTCTATATTTAATACTCTAAATTAGTGTCTAAAGACAGGGACTAAAGTTAAGTCCCTAGATCTAAACACCACCTTAGGTGTTGTTTGTATCGGAGACTTAACTTTAGTCCCTATATTTAGACACTAATTTAGAGTATTAAATATAGACTATTTACAAAACTAATTACATAAATGAAAGCTAATTTGTGAGATAAATTTTTTAAGCCTAATTAATCCATAATTAGAGAATGTTTACTGTAGCATCACATAGGCTAATCATGGATTAATTAGACTCAATAGATTCGTCTCGCGAATTAGTCCAAGATTATGGATGGGTTTTATTAATAGTCTACGTTTAATATTTATAATTAGTGTCCAAACATTCAATGTGATAGGGACTTAAAAGTTTTAGTCCCATCTAAACAGGGCCTTAGCCGCTTAGAGCATCTATCCATTTGTCGGGTGATTTCTAATAAAAGCTCATCTAAATTTTTTTTACCTTTGTATTTACATTCAACAGATTACAAAAGAAAAATAACAAATACATATTAATTTTATTTTTTTATTTTTTATTTTAGTTTCAAATGTCTGTTAACGACCAAATTTGGTAAATTCTATCACTATTGGCATCGAAGGTGAAGATCAGATCGAAGTGGAATCCAAGATGAAGATCGTTGCGGAAACAGAGTAAGAATCGGCTGCAGTCCAAATCGGCTAAGGTCAGGTCGGCAGAGTTCGAGTCGGACGGGGTTAGCCGATACAGCCGATTCCGATAATATGACTCGGCGTATGTCGTCGGGTTCAAGTTGATGTGCTTCAAAGATGATTACCACGCATGGATAGAGTCCTGGGAAGGCAATTGTATCTATTAATTAGGATATTATGTGTAATTTCCTTAGAGATATGTTTGGGCAAAAGTCTGCCGTAAAGACTTATGGTATCTTAGAGTTTGTTAGAGATAATAGTCGGGTCCGTTATGGACGTATCTTGTAATTCTCGGGTATAAGTAGACCCAAGCCCTATGTAAAAAAAGGATACACATCCAATACAATCTCGGCGCATCGTCAACCTTTTTTGCTTTACTTTTATTTCGACGAGTTCGTGCTCTCGGGTTGAGCTGCATCTGTTTCGATCTTCAACAAGAGGTAAAACTTGTCATGACGATTTATGTTCTCAGGATTAGTGCTTCCATCTTTATGATACTCTAATCTTGTCTATATAATTCGTCGAGTTATCATATATCTCACATAATCTTCGATAATGTCTCTATCTAACCTATAACCGGCTAACATCTGTTAATGGAAGGCAGCCGATTAGGTTAGACAATGATGTTAACTTAGATTATGTGATATATCTACCACTCTATGAAACTTCCAGCGGCTTAATTGTTTAGATATTGTTCTTCTTTTCATACTTAATGCTACATCAGTTGAGTTTGATCTATTAAGTCGTGCTTAGATTTGCAATCTCTAGCCTGCTTTATGGTTGCCGATTAGGGTAGTATCGGAGTTTCAGCCGATCTTATCTGATTTAACTACTTTTATTCCATATGCTTAATCTATATGTTAAATCTGCCCTTTATGTTAGGATCTTGTCGCATCTAGGTATATTAGGCTTCTGTTTGGTATATTCTACTTGCTTTAACATCTTAATATAGAGTGGTATCGGAGTATTAGCCAATACATGCTAGATCCATTTGATCGGCTATGCTATAAATGTATATAATCCCACTATTAATATATATATATATATATATATATATATATATATATATATATATATATATATATATCGATCTAAGTGATTTATACTGTCTCGGCAAGGCGACCGATCTATCCCAATCACTTGATTTAAGTATATATCGATATAAGGATTATATATCATTAATATCTACAGCCGATCGAGTAGATTTAGTTCTGATTTGCTTATTGATATTTGCCGATCGATGTACTTATGACATTGGCTTGAAATAAATGATATGTCATCGGCACCTAGCCGATCGGCTATCATTTATAGGATTAATTGCGGTTTCTTTGTTCTATTTCTTGTTGATTGCAGCATCAAATCAACTGGCACGCTCATACACCCGAAGGCGAGTTTTGGACCTGCACTGGAGTTAAGCAGATCTCCCAGGCCTCGTGTTTTCTATCAACACGCTTTTGGCATGCCCGGTGGGACCAATTAGAAGTCAGAAATCAATCTTCCTCATGGCCGAGAAGCTGCCAACGTCGCCATCCTCGGCTAGCCCGGGTACTGTTAAAGAGACAATCCAAAGGCTAGGATTGAACGAAGTCGATGAAGGGAATATTGTGGCTGTTGATCCGGAAAAGCTCACACCTGACCAGAAGAAGGATTTCGAAGCAATGATGCAACAAGCACGAGAACAGTTCTTTAGGTCGTTCACACAGACTCGCAAGGGAACATTTGTTCAAAAGTACAAGGTAAAGGTGGTTCCCGATGAGCCGGAGACCAGTATCTCTAAGGAGGGAGAAGAAAAAAGAGTTTTAGATGGCTCGGCTCAAGAGAATCAAGGTGACGGCTCTCAGGGGGTACATGCAGTTCAAGGTGATGGTGCTCATGAGCCACAAGGAGGAAATCTTAATCGGAATGGTGAGACAGCACAAGATTTCTTCAACAATTTCCAAGATCGAGTGACTACGCCGTACACAATGCTTTGATCAATCAATCTGGAGTGTTAGTCAACACCTTGTCTAACATGATGAAGACGATAGCCGATGGGTCAATAGCCGAGCATCAAGCTGCAGGCCCGGTCTACTTGCCATGAGGTGTTTTTCCGAATTATCGATCTTTGATTACTGATGTTCAGCCGCTTGCTCAGGCAGTTCTTCCGAGTGCACTATCGGCTCAGCCGATGGCACCGCCATTGATTTCTTTGCCTGCTCCATCAGCGTCGACACCAGGTCAGCCGATTAATCCTCGGCTATTGATGAGGGAGCAGCCACAGCATAGCGGGCAAACGGTAAATCGGCCAGCACAGGATCAGGTGGCTGCTATGTTTCCACCCCTCCAATCTACTGTCAATTCAATTCAACAGACTCCACTAAGGCAGCAGGTTGTGCAGCCAGTTCAGCCAACACCTCCAGGACAACAAACTATACAGCCGATTCCGCAGCAAGCTTTGATGAATCAATCGGCTGGGCAATCGGCTGGGCACGCCCTGAATCAGGTTATTCCAGAACATTTGGTTCACCATATACAGCCAGATGGTACGGCGATGCCTCGGATTATGCCGGAGCACTTGGTGCAAAGTATTCAACCAAGTTACCAAAATTGCCAAGGGGGTAATATGAATTATCAATATCAGCCTTTTTCCCCTCAAGTTCAGTATCAGCAAGGAGGGCTAACCCAACCTCAGTTTGCTTCTCAATATAATCAGTTTGAACCAACACAGCAACAGTCGCAAGAAGCAGCTCAACAGCGACCATGGGCTGATGTAATTGCCGATGTGATGAAAGAACAATTTGGGCTTAAGCCGAGAGATACTGGGAAATTGTATCGGCAACCTTACCCTGAGTGGTTTGAGAAAACTCCTCTTCCAAACCGGTTTAAAATCCCAGACTTCTCCAAATTTTCGGGACAAGATGGTGTGTCAACTTATGAACACATTAGCCGATTTTTAGCTCAGTGCGGCGAAGCATCGGCTGTGGACGCTCTCAGAGTTAGATTATTCCGGTTGTCCTTGTCTGGGTCGGCTTTTACATGGTTTTCTTCTTTGCCGTATGGGTCAGTCAATAGTTGGGCCGACTTGGAGAAGCAATTTCATAGCTATTTCTATAGTGGAGTTCATGAGATGAAGTTATCTGACTTAACAGCAATCAAGCAAAGGCATGATGAACCTGTACATGAGTATATTCAGAGAATCAGGGAGATGAGGAACAAGTGCTTTAGCTTAAGTTTGACTGATGCCCAATTAGCCGATTTGGCTTTTCAAGGCATGATTCCTCCGATTAGGGAGAAATTCTCATCTGAAGATTTTGATAGCCTGTCGCATCTCGTACAGAAGGTGACATTGCATGAACAGAGGTTTGCAGAGGCCAGGAGAAGCTCTAAGAGGGTTAATCATGTCTGTCCTTACATGTATGGATCGGATGATGATGACGATGACTCTGAAATAGCTGCAGCCGAATGGGTAAGGAGTAAAAAGGTTATACCTTGTTAGTGGGTAAAGAATTCTGGAAAAGAGGAGAGATATGATTTTGATATTACCAAAGCTGACAAGATTTTTGATCTGCTACTCCGGGAGAAGCAAATTCAACTCCCCGCTGGTCATGTAATTCCATCGGCTGAGGAACTAGGCAAAAGGAGGTATTGCAAATGGCATAATTCTGGATCTCATTCTACTAATGATTGCAAGGTCTTTAGACAGCAGATTCAAGTAGCCATTGAAGGGGGGAAGATTAAGTTTGATGATTCCAAAAAGCCGATGAAGGTCGATGGTAATCCTTTCCCCATTAACATGGTTCATACCGTTGGTCGGACAGCCGATGTGGGACGAGCGAGAGGTTTTCGCGTGAATTCGGCTAAAATTATAAATAAGTATCAGAGGAAATACGACAAACAACAAGAGAGGCATTATGAAGAAGATAATGATGGTTTCGATCCTCATTGGAATTGTGAGTTCTTTCGGTTCTGCTGGAACGAAGGAATGAGGCTACCATCTATTGAAGACTGTCATGGGTGCAGTGATATTACAGAGAGTTCAAGCCGATCGTACAACAGAGGCAATTGGCTGAAGCAAGCTAGAGTTCCCGTTCATCAAAGGTTGGGCCCGGTAAATCAAAATGATTACTTGAAGAAAGACGAGAACGCGAAGACTCAGTGGTGTCCTTCTGGTATTTTTACAAAGAATCAGAAAAGAAGGGTTCAAAGGTTGAGGAGCAGGGAGCGCTTTCAGGAGGTCGAACAAGAAATTGGTCATCGGCTGAGGAAAGCAAAGCCAAGGAAGGAGTGGCGTGTTAAGAATCAAGTTCTTGGAGCCGATGATATTGCAGCCGACGAAGCAAAGAGGTTGGCAAAAGGGAAAAGTATTGTAACAGCGCCAATTAACATGGTCTTTACTTTGCCAGCCGAATTCGGGATTGATCAGGCCGATGTTGACGAACTGGAAGAGGAATCGGCCAAGTTGGTTCTATCACCAGAATGAGCAGTCTTTGAAAAGCCTGAGGGGACAGAAAATCGGCATCTTAAACCATTGTATATAAATGGCTATGTTAATGGGAAGCCGATGTCTAAGATGATGGTCGATGGTGGGGCTGCGGTAAATTTGATGCCTTATACTACGTTCAGAAAGTTAGGTAGAACTACTGAGGATCTCATCAAGACGAACATGGTGCTTAAAGACTTTGGTGGCAACCCATCGGAAACAAAGGGTGTTCTGAATGTAGAATTGACAGTCGGCAGTAAAACTATCCCTACCACATTTTTTGTCATCGATGGGAAAGGTTCTTACAGCTTGTTGCTTGGAAGGGATTGGATTCATGCCAATTGTTGTATTCCTTCGACCATGCACCAATGCTTGATTCAATGGCAAGGCGACAAGGTTGAGATTGTGCCAGCCGACAGGTCAATTAATGTTGCCAGTGCCGATTTAGCTCTTTGGGAGATGGATGGCCTTGATTGTTTATACGGGAAGATTTGGGTTGGAGATTTTCTAAAAGTGTCCGATTATGATATACAGCCGATTGAAGACGAAGAACCCAAGCTATTATTTTGAGGGCGTCGTGGAGGGTTCAAGCGTCTACGCCAAGGACACGGTAGATGATCTCGATGACAAGCAATGTCAGGGTTTTATGTCGGCCGATGATTTAGACGAAGTGGATATAGGTCCGGGTGATTGACCAAGGCCGACATTCATTAGTAAGAATTTGTCTTCAGAATTTAGAACCAAGCTGATGGAGCTTTTGAAAGAGTTTAGAGATTGCTTTGCTTGGGAGTATTATGAGATGCCAGGACTCAGCCGATCGATCATCGAGCATCGATTACCTTTAAAACCAGGGATTAGACCACACCAGCAGTCTCCGAGAAGATGCAAAGCCGATATGCTTGAACCTGTCAAGGCTGAAATCAAACTTATAATAAGTTTTTCAAATATCTACTGAAAACGGATATCTACAGAAAAAGTTACATCCGATTCTCCTCGGCTTTGCCGGATTCGGCGAAATTAGAACATCCAAATTTAGCTTACAAAATTGTGTTTTCGAGGCGAGAAGCTTTTTGGTAGAGCTTTCGAAATTTCTACAGGTCACATATTTCATCCATTTGAGTTCAACCTTTCTAAGGTTGGTTCTTGTGTGCTCCTAAGCGTGAAAAAAAAATCCGGGGGGAGGGCACCAACCACATTGGCGCGCTCCCCCTGCCACCTCAGCGCCTACTCGCCACAGTGGCAGGAGGACGGCGCCAGTGACTCTGGCGCCCCAAAAAGGACCATTTTCGAGATAAGTTTTTTCAGGGGTTTATTTGCAAAATAAGTTTTTCAAAAGAACCAAATTATAAAATATCCAGTCTCCGCTCCGCCTCACGTCGCCGCCCCTTCCCCCGTCCCCCCGCCCGTCTCACCCTCTCCCTCTACCTCTCCCGCTGCTGCCCGCGTCTCGCACCACCTCCTTCATCCCCTCGCGCCGCTACCTCTGAGCACCGCGTTCGCATCCCCCTCGCGAGGCGTCCCCGTCGTCCGCCTCCGGCTTCCCCATCGCCTCGCATCGTCGTCGCCGTCACTCGCCTCCACCACCATCGTCGGCCCCCAAAACATCAAGGGTGGCGGATGGCGCGGCCGCTCAGCGATGCCACGTAGGAACAGGAACAGTGCGTGGGTTGGCGATTTTGCGAAAAGGTCCTCCATTGTTTTGTAATTAGATCTAGACCCCTCATGAACAGTACCTCTTAGATGATGTTTTACGTATAGGACAATATAAAAATTGGATATTCCATGTGAAGGAGATAAAAATCGCTAGTAAGGACTGCCTGTAAAATATGGAAGACGAGGGGGTTTTTCACAAAACAGCACCCACTAACTCCACCCCGGGTCCCCCCCCAAAAAAAAAAACCTCTCTCCCGTGCTGCTGCCCACTCCCTCTCCCTCTCCGCCGCCGTCGCCGCCGCGTCACAGCAGTCGAGCGCCGCCTCCCCATCGCGTTGTCTGCCTCCTCCGCCTTCCCCTCACGCCGTCGCCTCCACCTCCGCCTCCACCGCTGTTGTTTCGTCATCTCTGAGCGCCTCCCCCCTCGCGCCGTCGCCATCGCCGAGCGCCTCGGCCTCCGCCTCCGCCACCGCCGTCGCCGGCGCAGTGGAGGCCCAGCGGACGGAGGGGCCCGACAAGCGGCTTGCGGGAGGTGAGGCTCTGCTGGCGAGGTCGGTGCAGGGCGAGTCCTCCTGTACGGCATAGGTGGAGAGCAGAGATGAGAGATGGTGACAACTGACGAGGTGCGGAGGTGGCAGTACGGGGCTTCTCATTGACTAGGACGTACTGTGAATGGCCTTATAAAATTACAGCGCATAGCGGGAATGGATTTTAAACTCTTTAGGGGTTGTCCTCTCGAGAGTTTAGAATTATTAACTGGCTATAGTTTAATTTTATCTTTTTTGTTGCAAGTTGTAGAAGTCGAACTTTAATTTATATGTTTATGGAGAGATATATCACATATTAATTATCTAATTTATATTGCAAACAATAAGGAGATGCCCCATTAAGAGTTTAGAATCGTTTCAGTGCACAATAGTTGTAAAAAGCTGCATAAAGGAAGATAATGGTTAAGCCATCATACCCTTTTTTAATTCTTTACTGTATACTGAATGAGCTACTGCAGTTGGAAGAAACTATACATTTTCAGATAATGAACGGAATGACTCAACATGATTACCAATTTATAAATCTTGAATTCAGCGATTCTGGTCGGCTTACAATAAGGAACCACACATCCGGCCCTGTGTGTTGATTTTGACAACCCCAATACTACATGCAGTCAGAATTACAGTTTTTTACACAAAGTCAAAAATACATCCGCAAAGTCAAAATTACATCAAATTACGATTGAGAAGATTATCAATGCAACAATACGGTTATAGGGATGTGGATTTTGTGTGTTAGATTTTGACAACCCCAATACTACATGCAGTCAGAATTACATTTTTTTTACGCAAAGTCAAAATTACATCAACTTACGATTGAGAAGTTTATCAATGCAACAATACGGTTATAGGGATGTGGATTTTCATCCCTCGAGAGGACATCCCCTTGTTGTTTGCATGTCATCTAATTTTATCAAAAAAATTGAAAAATTGACAACATAGATTAATACGAAATATATCACTCCACAACATGCAAGACCAAATTCAACTTCTATAAGTTGCAACAAAAATAACAAATTAAATTGAAAATAGTTATCTCACATTCGCAATTATATTTGTTATTTTTGTTATAGCTTGTGAAGTTGAATTTAAACTTGCATGTTTGTGGAGTGATATATTTCATATTAATCTGTGTTACCAATTTTTTTATATTTTTTATAACTATATAGGTGGTATGCACGAAACGAGTGGATATCCCCCGAGGGATGAAATCCCTTTCCCCGGTTATAGATGATCCATTCTGATGGCTAAGCTTAGCTAATAGCTCGAATCGAGAATACGTGGTATCATCAAATTTTGAAACTTATTGGTATCGTACCTGTCTTATTCTTACCCACACGAATGATTTTCAGTATAATTACAATTGGAACAGTTACATACTTATAAGATATTTGAGCAAAGGCCAGGATATTATATTTTATTATCTAAAAAAACATACTTATAGATATATTGGAATTCAGCTCGCTAGGTGTTTATAAGCTGGCTGTCCTCTAGTTCTCATCGGGCCATCATGGCGGCGGTCTCCCGTTCGGCGCGGTTCATGAGGGCGGCGGTGCGGGCCAAGAGCTGGCCGGTGTTCTCCAGCCGCCTCTTGCCGCGGTAAGCAGGGTCGTCGTCCGCCCAGTAGTTGCACTTGTACCTCTTCGTCGTCTCCACGTCGTCCAGCTCCCCCGCCTTCCGGGCGTGAGCCCTCTTCCGCCCTGGCTTCGCCGCCTCCGCCGCCGCAGCGCTCTCCTCGTCCTCGATCCGATCATCTTCTTCCACGAGCTGCATCACCTTCAGGTATGCCTCCATGAAGCCAGGGTCCTCCCGGTATTTCCACTTGTTGTTACTATTTTTACCGTCTTCCTCCATCGGCTCATCTGCGTAGTAGTCCACTACTAGTTCTTCCATCTCCGCATCCTGCTCCTGCTCCTCCTCCTTTCTCCCCATTTCCGTCGCCGTCGTTGAGATGTGAATTGTGATCGAGCTCTGCAGCATGAGCTCCTAATCAAGAATTAATATTCTTAGATTAGTTTTTGCTGGGAAGGGGATATATACGGTGGAGAGCCGGACGGAGTCGGTGCCTATAACCTATACGGAGTCGGAGTCGGACTAGGACTCGGCCTCGGCCTCGGCCGGCTGGGATTCTCATGTCGCCCGAATGTCTTGATTTTGGACTAAAATTTCACCTTTTGGACTTTGGGTTACACGGATAAGAGTAAATTGCATTTTTGGTGCTTTGGCTAGCTAGTGGAGTATTTATTTATTTTAGCCCCCACTTGAATTCTTTCGTCTCCGAATTAAAGGAGGAGAGTTGTACACGGTGTTACAGATGGTTTAGAATAGAGAAGATCCTCTTCCAACCCGTGATTACAATATCTTGGCTGAAATTCTTGGTTTTTCTTTTTTTTAACTAGAAAAAATGTCCGTGCGTTGCAACGGGTGAAGCCTATTTTAATCTTATTATAGTTATATTGTTTAGTTAAGATAAAATTTATTGTGGGAGTTCACTTAGATATATATATTTTTAGAAAATCATAAGCTGCAGTTAGGAGTCTGATCGTCTCAAGTTAGCATGCGAGTCTTTTTAAATATATTTCTTATATGATTCCTAGTATTATCAAAAGTGGATGATCTTAAATACCGACTCAAATATGGATATGTATTTTTAAAAGCAAACGAACTTAAGAACCGAGTCATACACGGATGACGTACCAAAATACCGGTAAAAACATTTTCAATTTTTATAATAGTAGAGATTTGGTCAAAGTTTATTCAATTCATTCAAATTTTGTTAATGTTTGAAATAATTTCGTTCTCAATTTTTTTGGAAAATTCGGTGACACCGAAATTCCTAAATTTGGGTCCAAAACATGTTTCATTCATTCACTCTAGAAGGTGGCATCGTTCACGAATTGTCTCGATCATACTAACTATTATTATTAGTATGGCATGCAAATAAGAAACATGGAAAATATATATAGTGCAAACCATATATGTAATGAAAACTTGAAAGCTATCGTAGGATAAAAAATGAACGTACGATATTTATCCACGTCACCAATAAAATTTTCACTGGTGAGTGAATCTGCGAGTAAAAGTTTTACTCGTGATGACATGAAAAAATCTCGAACGTTTATTTTTTATTTAATAGTAGTTTCTAAGTTTCCATCACATATATGTAGTTTAACATATAAAAGAGATTATATCTAAAAAAGAAGAGAGATAGAGGGAGTAGAAGCAATTTCTTTAGAGTGAAAAGAACAGCAAAGGAATATCTGATGGCTATTGGGCCGGGATGTGATAATGCCTGGGCCTCAACGCAGTCACATCCCGGTATACACTGACCACGTATACACTGACCACAGCAGCGCGCTTGGTCAAAGTCGTCTTCCACATGCTGACGTGCACACTCGCGAGTCGCCTCGAATATAGGCGGCCTCACCTCTCAACCGTCAATGGCGGCAACGGCCGAAGCGGCGAGACATCGGGTAGTTGCGGCCGCGGCGGCGTTGCGCGGGGAGCGCAACGCCATGGAGAGCAGCAGCCTGTGGGGCGTGCTCGGGCAGGCGTCGAACGTGGCGCAGCTGGTCGGCGTCGACGCGCTCGGGCTGGTCTCCATGGTGGCGCAGGCGGCGCTGGCGGCGCGCCGCCACCGGGACGCGTGCCGGCGGCTGGGGCAGCACGCGGAGCTCGTCGGCGGCCTGCTACGGGAGCTGGAGCTCGCCGAGCTGATGCGGCGGGAGGCCACCAGGCGGCCCCTCGAGCAGCTCCAGGGCGCGCTGCGGCGGTGCTACGCGCTCGCCACGGCGTGCCAGGAGGACGGCGGCTACCTCCACCGCCTGCTCCTCGGCGCCCGGATGGCCGACGAGCTCCGCGCCGCGCAGCACGAGATCGACATGTACATCCGCCTCATCCCTCTCATCGCCCTCGTCGACAGCAGCAGCAATCATCGAGACAAGGTAAACATTGTTTCGCCTTGATGATTAGTACAGATTTACAGTTCTTAGTAGTTAGTACTAGTAGTACTAATTCAGTGATTCAGCCCGCGAAAAAAGTAGTAGTACTTCGGTGAAATCCTGTTGTTTGTACGGTTGTGTTCATCTCAATTCTCAATATTGACGCTCGTTAGAATAAGGAATCGAAGCCCGTGGCGTGTTTGAGAAAAATTCTTAGCGGTAGTAGGTAGAAGCAGTGGTCCGATTGAACAAGTCTGTTAAGGTGAACCTGGTGTCTGAAATTCTGAAACTGTAATCCAACTGCAGTTAGCTACGGCCAATTTAAAATTCAGTTTCCATTCGTAGTATCAAACTTATATTTGTGCAAGGTGATACAACAAATCTGCTCCTTGTTGAACAAAAATTAAAAAAAAAAACTGCTCAAGAAGAAGGCTAATATGAACCATGGAACTTGCATTGTCCTGATCAACTGTATATCAAAATGATACCCATCGTTTTCCATATCTTTGTTTAGCAGGCTATGGATGGGGCGGCTACTGCAATCAAATACAGTTCAAATCGTCACATCAGGTAAGACAATTTTCAATACGCAGCTGTTTACATAACGTACCATTCTCATATATTGGTTCCAACATTTTATCATGTTATTTTGACAAAATGGCAGTATGGAAGGTGAAGCACGGTTGTATTGTTGATGCTAACAGCTGGATTAATTTGGTTGACTAATGACTAAAGTTTGATTTTAGACCATAGAGGCATAGAATAGAAGCAGTTCAAGCAGATCAGTGTTGGGAGCTATGTGACACGTGTTGCTACAAACTTTAGATAAAGTGTACCCTTCAGATATGTTGTGTTTGAACTTTGAATGCCCAGGCCAACTTGTCTACCAGTTATTCTGCTATGACCAAATCATGGACAAAACTATATGGTGGGCCATTTGGACTGACCTGTGATGTCCTCACATGTCCTCTGAAATTTAAGACGTGGAAGATCAACCTAGGAAGCTTGGTCCGTCATCCTAACTTGCACTGTCAGGTCAGCAGACAAGCCTCGTGATTTCGATAATAATCTCACAGAATGTTGACATAGCTTACTGCAAGGTGCAATTGGACTATGAGAGAGACAATTCAGTGGCTTGGTTTGTGATCTACATCTCTCCAAATATTTGGAAGGAGAAGAATACAATATTATTTCATGACCAAAATTCTATCTCCAAAAGAAGTTTTCTTCAATAATAAGGGGGATTTTTTGAGATAAAGATAAAGCAGACAGAGAACTTCTGTAAACTAGCCCTTCTTTCCTGCTCTCCATCTCGCCAAAAAAATAATTCAGTCAACTTGAAATGAAAACACGAGTTTATTTAAGTTTCAGCATTGATGTTTCAATAAATTTCTAACATTTTTACGCACAGTAGCATGACTCTTTTTTTTTTGTATCTTCTTGAAAACGAAATGATTGAAGCTCCTCTAGTCATGTTGCCCTACCATCAGGTCTTCATTTATTCACCCCTATCATATGAAATTGTCCCTTCTTTTCCTTTGCTAAAATCATTTATGGTTTTAGTACAATAATGGCAAAAATTTTCTACCTTTAGGTTTCCAGCAAGAGTTTCGGGGTTCACCGAAATACATGTTCAAGGAGATACTAAACTTTGCAATGCTGGGGAACAACCTTTAGGTATCTATGTAATTATTTTATGAATTCCTTGTAAGTAGTTACTCAAATATCAAAATCAATAGGCAGAGGTTTCTTTTCAATCCTATTTGAATCAACGATGTCCAAACTGTTTATATGTGCATATGTGCTTGTACCAGTACTCTTTTGCTTATCCATTATTTTGATATATCTCAACCAGATAGAATAAAATACTGCATATTATATTTTTGACATTGGTATCATGGGCCACCACACACAGTTGGAAGTAGGGGTGGGCATAAAATCACTGAAAACCGAAGGCCGAACCGAACCGAACTATCAGTTTTCTCGGTAGTCGGTTTCTCCTTCGGTTTTATTTCTCCCGTAGATCGGTCTTCGGCTTTTCCATCGGTTCCTCATCTCTAACAACCGAAGAATCCGTACAAACCGATCAATCTCTATGATCCCATTCCCCTACTTGAAAACCACAATGTCCAGGCCTTTGACCAATGGAAAAGTCCATTAATAGTTTAATACCATCCATCTCTCATTAACCCTACAGTCCATACCCTATCCTATCCAGCCCATCTGACTACCACCGTGGCCTTGCAATGCTGCTTGCAGGACTTCAGCCTGCGGCATGGCACAACATGTATGTACTTTTTTTGGCTTACTCGGTAAACCGACAAACCAAACCGAATAACTTTGGTTTGTTCGGCGCGGTTTATTGTTTTTGTTACAAACTCTTCGGCTTGGTTTTGTTGAGAACCAAATTTCCAAAAAACCAAAGAAACTGAACCGCAACATCTGAGGAAACCGAACGCCCACCCCTAGTTGGAAGGGACCTAGATAGCGGGACAAACATATGTTAAGATAGAAATAATGAACATCAAATGCAGTTCTGGTTTTCTAAATTATTTTAAAATTTTAGCTTGTTTTGTAATCACATTATTAAAGTGATACAACAACATGATTATATATAATGCATGATATCCTTTATTAGAAGTCCATTTATTATCAAAGTGAGCACTCTTGCATTTGGAATCTACCAATTATGATGAACTGGTGATCCCTGATCATCATACAAAGAAGCTCAAGCATTATCATGATATTTGATATTTTTAAGTTATATTAATGTTGATTGATATTCCATTGGTGATAAGGATGGATTTTCAATGGCTTAGGAACAGTGTACCTGCAAGAACAGAAAATCCTTGACATCGAAGAACTGGTGGAGCTTTGTACTCGTACAGAAGAGAGCTGCCCAGGATTCTCAAAGTTCGACTTCTCTCAGATTGTGCATGCTACAGATAATTTCTCAGAGAATAGCAATATTGGACGGGGTGGATTTGCTACAGTTTACAAGGTAATTATAACCCCTCAACATTATGAAATTTTTTTTGAAACCTATGCCAGCTTTGCTGGTTTTATATTAAGAAAGGAGAGAACTGTACAGGCTCAACATTATGAAATTAACATGTGAATGCCTATCGTCCTTGTATTCCCAACGAGATGCATGCTGAATTGCTGATATCTTTTGAGAGAATATTGTCTAAACTCTTAAGTAAATATGGCAGGGTCAGTTGCCCAATGGACTTGTGGTTGCCATCAAAAGACTCGATGAATGTGCAGTAAACTTTGATTTCAACAATGAATTGCAGCTTGCAAGGGTTCAGCACAATAATCTGGTTAAGTTACTGGGTTGGTGCATCCATGGGAAAGAAAGGATTCTGGTGTATGAGTTTGCGGACAGGGGTAGCTTGCAACATTACATCTTTGGTATGTTTGCACAGTGGAACAACTCCCATTTCACTGAGTTGGTTTTTCTTCCAATAATTTGTTTTAAAGAAAATTTAATTTCATTTAGATAAGCATAGAAATTGCACTTATTTTACATAAAAAATGACATTTATTGTTTCAATTTTTTTCAGACAAAATGAGAAAATCATTGTTAGACTGGCCTCAGCGAGTGAATATAATCAAAGGTGTTGCAGAGGGTCTTGTTTATCTACACAAGCTTTCCATGTTATGGATTGTCCATAGGGATTTGAAACCAGATAACATCCTCTTAGATTATAACATGAACCCAAAGATTTCCGATTTTGGATCATCCAGTTCACTGAGTTCAGAAGTTGCAGAAGAACATACAAGAAGGGTTGTGGGCACTAGGTATGAGTTTTCTGACATGTCATAAATATAAGTTTCCTTACTTGTGTTGACTTGACTGTTTTAATCTTTCTTTATTCAGTGGTTTCAAAGCTCCGGAGTATGCATCTCGAGGAGTTTATTCAGTGAAGACGGATGTGTTTAGCTTCGGTGTCTTGGTTCTAGTGATCATTAGTGGACGAAAGAATTCCATACTTTATAAGCAGAGGGATGCTATAGGTGATCTTGTACGGGATGTAAGCGAACACTCATTATTTTTATGTTCCTGATTCTCTGAGTTACTAGTCCCACATCTTAAATAACGATTTCAGGGTGCAGCATCCAGGCTGCCATTGGGCCACGTGGCACTCTACAAAATTTTCTAGGGCTACTCTGAAATTATGCCACGTGTCCTCCCCTATACATAATTAAACTGCATTCTTCTGTCCACTGAACTCTTAGGAAAAGTCAGGAGTCAATAAATCACCTTGCCTGACCCTTGTGAAGAAGTTGGATATGTAACCCTTCCGAAGTCTCTAGAAAAATTAAGATATAACATGGTTCTTCACGTGTATTTATACGCACAAACTATGTCAGTACTCACATAGTCACATATTGATTTCCAAGACCTTTGATGCTTTAACTTTTTAAGACTGGTTTTAACTTTTAATACAAAGAGTAATCTTTTAATACAAAGACTGGCTCTGCATATTAAGCTGACAATTAGAGTCATTAGCCTAAAAAATTATGCCTTACATAAATTTCGTAATTTTTCTATAGGTTGACAAATTCTGTAAATTGTACTAATTCAAAAGACACGTCTTCTAAAGTATTTGTTCAAGGTACTTATAGACGCTTAAACAAGTTAATCTTTCATTAGCAAAACTTTTTTCAAGTTGAATTATAATATACAGCAGAGAAGTATGGCTATCTAAATGCGGTAGAGAAGAATTAATTAGCCATGCATACACTAATTAACCATATTACTCTATTTGTTGATAATATTGCTCTAACTATGTTTGATTGTACCTATGATTAGCTTGTATTATTTTTAAGATGGGGGAGTATCGTATATGAGACTACAGAGAGGAGTAGGTGACACTAGTATATTAGCAGAAGAAATTTCTCTTAGAGAGACTTGTCAAAAACTATATCCTTTAGTTTTCGGTCCACTAATGATCTAATCTTACCAATTAATAATAGGTGTTAATTACTCTGTCTAATGGAAGAGAAAAACAAAGGTTTGAAAGCAAATAGGCAAGTACTATACATAATTTTTATACATAATTTTGCTTTATGTATTAATTCTTTTACAACGCTTAAATCTTTACATAAATACAGTTATTACTATAAGTTAATCGTTCCTCAATCTTTTCAAAATTCATTAAATAGGTTCTTCTAAATCTACTGCATTTGAAACTCTAGACAACAACAACAATAATTTTTCTAAATGAGTAAATATATCCTAGCTATAAGTTGGTGTGCCGATGGTGCGCCAATTTTCTAGGATATGGAAGCAGGGAATTGGGAAAGGATAGGGATGTGAGATTGTATATTTGTTTCTAATTTTTAGGGTATTTAGTGTAATATTGGACTATTCTATAAATTTGAAAAACATAAGAACTAAAGTAAGAAATATGAGGGCCCGGCATGAAAAATCAAGAATATCTCTAGAGTTACTTTGCATTATAGGATAAACAAATTTGAGATATGCTAGCTCATCCTACGTGATACTTTGAGGAGGGTCTTGCACTACGAACGCCCTAAGAGAGGTGGTATAGCTATAGTTTTCCAAATTATACATATGAGGCTACGAATTGTGACATCTAAATGGTGTACTACTCACAAAAGAAGATATGGAGGCGTGTCCCTCTCCATTCACATGTGGCTCTTCAAATAGTGTGTGAACTATGTGGCCCTCTCGTAGTCATGAGTCATGACAATATTTTCGACTACTGAGAATATAAGCAAATATTGGGAAAAAAAGAGAGAGCGTGGTAGAGATACAAATGATAAGATTTTTAACCATCGAGGATTTAATAATGTAAAAGTAAAATAAATGAAGAGAATTTAGAATGTTATACTTAGGCCGAAAGAAAATAAAAATATGGGAAGAAGAAAAAGAACAAAATCATTTCCCTTTTTTTTCATAAGCAGTTAAAAAAACAATCCCAACTGTTAGTGCTATTATAAGAAACCTCTAATTATTATAGTCCCAAACAATTTTCATATAAGACTTCACCTTTTAGCCTTATCTTATTAATAATAATTAAATCGACCATCAACCAACATATATTTGACATCATTTTTTTCCTCTGTAATTTAAATATTTACAAATATAATGTTTACTCAGACTTGTAGGCATAAAATTAAAAACTGCTAAAATATCTCTTTAAAATTTTACGCTTTTACGAATAACAATAAATAGTATATATAGTATTAATATGGTTTGCTATATGGATGGTGCGCTAACGGCGCACCAATTTTCTAGTTATAAATCTAAATTGCAACATTTGATGCTAAATATATTCAAATATATGTGTGAATTATATTAAAGGATATATATACATATTTTTCAGGCTTGGCATATGTGGAGGGACGGAAGGTTGCATGAGCTTGTAGATCCATCATTAGGGAATGTGTATGAACTTGATCAGATAATTCGGTGCACCCAAGTGGCATTGCTCTGCACCCAGGAAGATCCAACAGTTCGGCCCACCATGCCGGATGTCGCCGCAATGCTGAGTTCTGGAAGCGTGATCTTATTAGATGATCCTAAGAAGCCTTCTGAGCTAAGTAATGAAGTCGAAAAAGGTGGTGACGAGACATCTACATGTATGGATCAATCAAGCCAGACAATAGATATAACCATTACAAGTTCAGCTCCAGTGTCAACTAGGGTTCGGATCATTATAGACCAAGAGATAATTTGATGTCAGCTGGAAAATAATTCAATACTCTAGCAAGCAGTTGACATGCAGATTCCATCTGGAGGGCTCATGGATCACCCAATGACAATGAAGCTTGTCAATGTATATGTACAGTATATATGAAACGCACTATGATAGTAGGCCTAATTTGTACTCGTTTGTTTCATATTATAAGCCATTTAACTTTTTCTTTAAATCAAAGTTCTTTAGGTTCGACTAATATGTTTGTTTGGTATTGAAAATGTTAGTATATTTTTCTTTAAGCTTAATCAAACTTAAAGAAGTTTGACTAAACAAAGTCAAACGGCTTATAATATGAAACAGAGGGTGTAACTGCATATTTTCACACCCTCAGTGTCACTGTGTCAGGCCGCATTTTAGGCTGCGGCGGTAATCGGCTGCAGGCTTCGGCCCAAAACCATAGAACCCATCAAGGATTCGTAGCCATCACAAAAGATCAGCGAAAAGGCTATCACGCGAGGGGTCGCGCGCATCGTGCGAGCGATCAACCATCTTTCCTTCGTTTTCTCTTTTTGAGCCTGTTTTATGGTTTCCTTTTTTTCCAACGTATGGGTTGCGCGCTCACACTTTGAGTCTATCTGGGTCATCTTTGGGCTGAATACCGTTGTTTTTTTTAATTGAATCTGAAATTTTTATTGTTAGAAAGTGGCATGTTTCTTGTGAAAGTTTCTATATCATCAAAATTTAAAAGTTTAAATATTTATAGAAATTTTGTATATAGAAAGTTTATACATGAAAAAATTATCTACATAGAAGGTATATATACATATAGGAAAATATATCGATATAGAACAAAGTATCTACAAAGAAAGTTTGTACATAGAAAAAAGTTGAATGGGAAGTTTGTATATTAATGAAAAGTTTGTACATTGATATTTGAGTACTTCGTATATGATTTTTTGGACGGGCTAAAGATCTGCTTGTTGGGCTCATGGCCTGGAAAGGAGGAATTGCTTGTTGGGCTCATGCTTGGAAAGGAAAGAAAGTGCACGTGGAAGGAAGATTAGGTTGGGTGGGCTGGCTTGGCGCGGGTGGAGGTGGAGCGATCGCGTTCGCCTCCGGTGCCCGATTGATCGCCTATCGGAAATTCGGAATTGCTTATTGGAAGGATATGGGATACGTCGTTGCGACTTGCGAGTCGAAATTGCTAATCGGCGCAGGCGCAGACGCACTAGATAAATAAGTAGCGCGCGTTTCTGTTTTGGCCCATCATTAGCCAGGCCTAAGGCCCAACCACACTTTTGACTTTTTTGTTTTTCTTTCTGAAAGCGCCGACGCATGCATGTGCAGGAATTTTTTTCTTCCTGAAAGCGCCGATGCATGCATGTGCTAGTATAGATAGGAATTAACGCGAAGGGGCAGTCGGGCAAGTGAGGCAAATCAATCTACAGCTTAATTAACGCTATAATTCTTCATTATTAGTTCTAATTTTTGATTAGGTGTCGTGATTAACATGAGTACTCATATCTGAAAACTTTCAACCCGTTTTTTAAAACTTTAAACTCAAATTTGAAAATTTTAACTCGAAATTTTGAAACTTTCAACCTAAATTTTGAAACTTTCAACTCAAATTTTCGAAAACTTTCATCTAAAATTTTAAAACTTTCAACTCAAATTTTGAAAACTTTCAACTTAAAATTGAAAACTTTCAAATCAATTATTTAAAACTTTCAACCTAAATTTTAAAACTTTCAATTCAAATTTTCAAAAACTTTCAACTAAAAATTAAAAACTTTCATCCGAATTTTCAAAACTTTCAAATCCAAAATTGAAAACTTTCAACTCCAAATTTTTTTTAAAAAAAAATCAATTCCTATTCTAGAACTTTCAAGTCCAAAGTTCAAAACTTTTAGTTTCAAATTTCAAAAGTTTCGACTCCGAATCTAAAATTTAAATCTTCATGTTAGCTAGTACTGTATTTATTAGCGTTAATCATGCAATTAACTCTAATCACATTATTAGTATCAGTAGGAGGGGGGCACTTACACGGGTTGAACGTAGCAAAAGGGAAATGACTCCTAGTCAGCTCCACGCGCTCGCGACTTGATCTTCTGGCGCAAGCGCGCGCTAGGAGCCCCCCTTGCGAGTAGCGACACTTCAAAATTTTGCAGTTTAGTCCAGCTGTTTGAATCGTGGTTTTCACATATTAGCGCCCACGCCTGTTCGACGAAGAGTCTCAGAACTAGAGTTCGTGCGCGTGCCAACTCCAAACATTCGACGGTTTCCATGGTCGTGAAGGAGAAGGCGCTGGAGGTACTCTCCGCAACCACAGGACGCTTGCCGCCGGCAGCTGGCGTGGAACGTGGGAACTCATCGATAGGCGGCCTATTGCGCTCGCCGGCGCCTTGCCGAGAAACTCCAGAGCGCGTGGTCGTGGTCGCGGCCCTCTCGACTCTCGTCAGCGCTGCTACAGAGACAATCGCGCGCCACTGCTGCTGGCGGCCGTCCAAGCTCGCTCACTGCTAGTCCAGGACGCGACCAGCTCGCGCGTTCTCCTGCCCCGGCGCCGTTTGAAGTAGCTAGGCGTGCGGCGCGGTGGCGCGGTGCCCCCAGTCAATGATAGAAGCGGAAAGCCTCGAGGTGGATTTCGCACGCCGATCGAGCCGCCCATGGCACTCTCGGCAGGGTTCTAACGCGGCGGCGGCACATCTGGTCCGCGTGGATGCGCTCGTTCTAGCCTCCGTGGCCGTGCAACCGACGGTACGGTGGAGGCATATGCTCGCCGCTATTGCTGGCAGCAGCCACCGTCTGCCGACCATTCGACGCTGCCACACGCACACGACCGGCTGTGTTCGCTCCAGCGTGTTCCCAACCGAAACAGTGCGCACGAAAAACAGAACAATCCATTAGCGTGTGATTAATTAAATATTAGTTTATTTTTAAAAAAAATGAACCAATGTGATTTTTAAGCAACTTCTGTATAGAAAACTTTTTTATAAAAAACACACCGTTTAACGGTTTGAAAATCGAGGAAAACTGGGTAAGAACACAACCCACAAGTCCTCACCGTCGTCGCCGCTTGATTGTCCTTAGATATATATCTTAGCGGCCCTTGTGCGCGGCAACGCTTATGCCGCGAAACCTTTGCATGCTGCCGCTGCGAAGACGGAGTCCGGAATTCATTGAGACATACCACATCGCACCGCCACAATATTAATTGGCTCCTTCCTTGAGAGATCTCACGGGACCTAGACATGCCATTTCTAGCTGCTACATGTCTGCTTGGTCAGCTCAAGCTCCGCGCCTCCGCGATCGATCGGTTGCATCAATGCATGCATGCATGCACGTACGCCACTTCGCTCGGGAGCATGCTTGCCGTGACACGACTATCGTGGAGCGGCTATGGCAATCGAGCAGGCTGTGGATCGGACATGCATGGCACGCAGCTGGTTGGCGTGGACGCGCTCGGGCTGGTTTCCGTGCTCGTGGGTTCGTCACAACGCCGGCCGCGCCATACATGCCGGCGCCAGGAAAGTCGACGATGATGCATGGTCCGTTCCACGCCGTGGGCCAGCTGGTCGGCGGCGCTGGCGGTGCGCCAATACCGGGGACACGTTGTTCATGCAGCTTGCACAGCAGCTGGACCTCGCTGGCGCGGCCTGCTGCACGCGGGAGCTTGAGCTCGGCGCCGAGCTGATGAGCACGGCGGGACCGCGGGAGGCCACCAGGTGCCAGGACTGCGGCTATCTCCACCGCCTGCTCCTCGGCGACCTTGGCTGACTGGAAGTAGCCACGGAGAGCAGCCATTTGCACTACCGGAAAAAGTATTTTTCCCGACGTGGGGGTCTTATTTTCGCAGGCGGACATAACATTTAGAGCCAAATGACCGCCTACAAAAATATAAATTGGGGTGAAATTTGATGTATGCCTGCGAAAATCTATTTTCACAGGCGGACCAATTAAGCGGCGCCTACGAAAATGATTTTTTGCAGGCGCCACTTAATTGGTCCGCCTACGAAAATAGAATTAAATATAAATAGATTTGCGGGCCCTAATTTTTTTTAAGTCCTCACACCTCTCCTCCCCTCCACACCTCTCCTCCTTTCCCCTCCCCTCACCTCTCCTCACCGGCCTCTCCCCTCCCCTCTCCTCTCCCCTCCCCTCACCTCTACTCTCCCCGGCGGCAGTGGCGGGCGGTGGCGGCGGGGGGCGGAAGCGGCGAGGAGGAGAGGCGGCGCGGTGAGCTCCAGCCCTCACGATAGGCGCCGCCTCGGAGCGCATGCAGACTATGCCACCAGCACCACCACACAGAAACAGCGAGAGCGCGTCCACGCCGATCAGATACGCCACGTTCGACGCCTGTCCGTGTCCGAGAGCGCCAACACTACTAGAAAAAGCATTTTTGCAGGCGGCTAAAACTAATTTTCCCAAGCGGGAGATAGGTCCACCTGCACCACAACGATTTTCGCAGTTGGGGCAACGGCCCGCCTGCGAAAAATGGAAGGAACGAAAAAAAAATCGCCGGCCCACGCCGGGAGCCGCCGCCGCCGGCCTCCCCCCTCCCTCCTCCAGCCAGATATGGGAGGGAGGGGGGAGGGGAGCCGCCGCCGCCGCCCCGCACCGTCGCCGCTGCCGCCGGCCTCCCCCCTCCCTCCTCCGGCCAGATAACGCTCATGGCACCAAACCCTCGGCAGGGAACTCGAACGCCGCGCGCGACGCATCCTGATCCACGCGGATGCGCTCTCGGTCTGGCTTCCGTGCCCATGCAAACGAGTAAGCGACAGTGGTCGCGGCGCCGCGCACGCCAGCCAAGTAGCCAACTGCCTAGTGCCTGGCCCGGTCATCCCTTGTCCACGGCGCCGTGGTGTTGGGGCAGCGCGCGCATGCCCCGAGTGATTGTTGTGTCCTTGGAGCGTACATAGCTGTGTCGAAATTCGGGTGCATGCGCATGTCTCGCTGCACTGCAGCAATCGCCGCCGTTGTCGTGGCCGTGTGCGCAGGAAGGAGGGTGTATATGGCCCTGCAGCTGCATGCATGCCGGCCACCGCCTTGGTGACGGATGACGCCAGTCATCGAGACACCGCAGCGCGCGCTGGCGGTGCCGCCACATGCCACTGCTAGCTGTTGCAACGCCGTACGTGCTCCGGGTCACCCACGTACGCCGGTACGCCACGGCGCGGACGTACGGTCCACGGTCCAGTCATGCATGTGCAAACAGAAATTCGCATGGTCGCCAGCTC